TGGGAGGTTGAGGTGGAGGCAGGAGAATCATAAGTTCCAAGATAGCCTAGACTTCAAGACCCTTTCTCAACAACAACTAATATATTGGTCAAAATTTAAAAACAGGGGCTAGAGAGATATTTCAGAGGTGAAAAGCATTGGCTCTTCCTGAAGAGGACCTGGGTTTGGTTCACAGCACCCACAAGGTGGTTAACAACTATCCATAACTGCAGTCCCAGGGAACCCTATGCTCTCTCTGGACTTTGTGGACATTGCACACACATGGTAACATCTACATACATGCAAGCAAAACACTCATACACGTAAAATTAAAGAGAAACCATGTTAAAAAATAAAAGGTTAATCTTTAAAGATGGTGGCACACATCTTTAATCCCATCACTCAGGAGGCAGAGGCAGGTCAATTTCTGTGAGTTTAAGGCCAATCTGATCTACATAGTGGTAAAATGTGTGACTTGCAGAGTCTCATTAGGGAAAGCCATAAATCCCTCAAAGTGTCTAACTGGCCCTAAATTGGTAGCCTGGCCTTGCTCAAGACTTATCAACTGGTCACTCCCTGGACAGAGAAAGACTTTGTGGAGCCCACTGGTCTCCTTTACTGCTGTACTCATCCGCCTGCCTGAGAAAACAATCTTGGGAAGAGAGACCTTCAAGGACACCAGACCTGGCACAGAGTTAACTCTGTGTGCAGCAGAGTACCTATGTAAGACCACACTGCTTCCCTCTTAGATTGCAGATGCTAATTCCTCAAGAAGAGCTTATCCGTCTTTGCTGCGTTTCCGTCAAGGGAACTCATTCCTTGCCTGTTGCAGGTCTGGCTCTGACTCTTATTTCTAAACTTTAAACTCCTTCCTTTTTCTGCCCTCCTAAATCTAACATAGTGAGTTCCAGGCCAGCTGGGGCTGCAGGGAGACCCTGTCTCAAAAAATCCCCAAAACTAATTAATTAATTTAAAAAAATAAAGAGGTGGTACACATCTTTAATCCCAGAACTCTGGAGACAGAGGCGGGCAGATCTCTGTGAGTTGGAAACCAGTGTGAAAGAAGTTCCCCCAAAGAATTCCTGCACCTTGGACTGAACTTCCTGCAAGGCTGACCAACTGATTATCACTCCAAGACTGTGGAGAGTTTGGAATGTTGCAGGTCCGGAGTCTAGTTACCATTTATCTCAGGCCATCTTTAGCCCCCTAAACAGCCACTCCTTACCCACCTCTGTTTCTGATGTATCCTGTGACTAACGGATAAAAAATCCTTTTAGAATGCATTATCCTAGCAGACCACCTGGTCTCACCAATCAAAAGGCTAAAAATGTCATCAGATACCATCTGAGACCTATAGTAAAAAAAACCCTTGCTTTGCTGTGACCCGCCTACTGAATGTATCCTCCAATGTATTTGAAAAGTGTCTTGATTTATGACCTTTCTTTGTTCTGTTACTATAAAAATGTAAGGCGCCAGGCATGGGGGCGGCACACCTTTAATCCCAGCACTCAGGAGGCAGAGGCAGGTGAATCCCTGTGAGTTCAAGGCCAGCCTGGTCTACATAGTGAGTTCCAGGACAGCTGGGGCTACAGGGAGACCCTGTCTCAAAAAAAAAAAAAAAAAGTAAGGCAACTGTTACCATGCTGGAACATGGAATCTGGCGTAACCTGAATCTGTGTTCCCAGGCCAGGGTCACGCATATTTGGCTCCAAAAACTATCTCTTAACCCCCTTTAAGGTGAGAGCTTTGCTTTTACATTGACACCAGCCTGGTCTATATAGTTCCAGGTCAGCCAGAGTTGCATGGTGACACTGTCTCATAGGAAGAAAGGGAAGGGAGGGAAGGGAGGGAGGGAGGGAGAGAGGGAAGAATGAAGGGGGGAGAAGGGGAGGGAGGGAAGAGGGGAGGGGGGAGGAAGGGAGGAAGAGGAAGGAAGGAAGGAAGGAAGGAAGGAAAAGACCTATAGAGTAGGAAGGAATGATGAGATGGTGGGGTGCTGTATGCCTATAATCCTAGCACTTGGGAGGCAGGATAGCAGCAAGCTCCAGCCAGCCAGGGATCCATAACAAGACTCTGTCTCAATAAAACAAACAAAAAACTAAACAAGTAATTAATGAAGGAAATGGATGAATATAATGTATTCTACTCAGGCCACAATACCTGCAGCAGCATCCTCTTCCCCTTTGACAGATATCCACAGGCATCCTACTGAGGCATTATGAGTCTCTAGCTAGCTAACAGACCCTGGTGTCAGGATTTCTCACCTGGGAAGTGAGTTAACATCAGACACATCTGCTCCCCACCCCCTTTCCCTGCCTCTTGCCTGTGAACTAGAGCCTGGCTGCAAAACCTACCCCCATCCTCAAAGAGCTATGAGGCTCCCTCCTCTACAAGTAAGCTCCTACTTCTCTCTCTCCTGAGACCACCCCCCTCCACCCCGTGTCTCGGGTGCTGAGGCCTGAACTCTCCTTGCAGCCCCCATGTTATTGCCTCTCTGTCCATGGCATTAATAACTCTAATAAACTTATTACTCAGTAATCCGTGTTCTCTTGAACCACCTCCCCTCAATCCAAAACCTAACAGAAAACACCACAGAATGGCCCATTTTAAGTGAAACTGGAGGGGCTCCCAAATTAACCTAATTAATGAAGACAGGAAAGAAAAGTCTCAAGTGAGAGGCACCAAAAAGAGAACTAAATGGACCAGAGAACTGAGAGGAAATACAGTCTCAAAAAGTAGGTGGAAGCTGGGGATAGCTAATCAGAACTAAATGTTTTCAGACAGGAAGGCTAGGGAACCCTCCTGCATCCCTTACAGAGAAGCAGCCATGTTGGAAGGACACATAAGCAGACCCTGAAGAGGCCCATGTTGGAAGGAACTGATCCTCCTGCAACAGTAGGGTGACTAAGTATTCCATTTTGCCTGGGATACTCCCACTTCCCAGGGAATCTGAGTCACAGCCAGCACTAACTGGACACGGCTGTGAGAGGACCACCTCCAGCCCCAGTGAGCCTTTAAAGGTGCTGCCAGTGACCAGTGGCTTGTGGCTTCATGAGACAGCCTGAGTCACTCAACTCATTTACAGAAAGTACATGAGCTGATCAAGGGTGGTGGTTGTTTTTAAACAATGGGGGCTGGAAAGATGGCTCAGTGTTTAAGAGCACTGGCTGCCCTTGCAGAAGACCCACGTTTGAATCCCAGCACCCACATGGCGGCTAACAACTGTCCCTAACTCCAGTTCTGGGGATCCAATGCCCTCTTCTGGCCTTCATGGGCATTGCACAACATGGGTGCACTTACATCCATGCAGATATAACATACACATAAATTTTTAAAAAATGAAGGGAAGTTGCCAGGCGTGGTGGCACACGCCTTTAATCCCAGCACTCAGGAGGCAGAGGCAAGCAGATCTCTGTGAGTTCAAGGACAGCCTGGTCTACATAGTGAGTTCCAGGACAGCTGGGGCTACAGGGAGACCCTGTCTCAAAAAGACCAAAAAAAAAAAAAAAAAAAAAAAAATTAAGGGAAGTCAAGACCTAAGAAAAAAGTCTACTTGACAAAGGCCTTAGCTATTTTAATCACCTGCTTTGAAGCAGCTTTTTGAAAAGGTAATGATTGAAGCTGAAATACAAGAGATCCTATGAAGGGGGAGGTCACTTCCCAGCAGCTTGTTCTTTGTGATGCTAGCATATAAACAAGTGAAAACTGATTAACTGGGCTGTGCAAACAGGTAACATGACAACACAGCTGATGCCCTGATACATACACCACAGCCAAAATCCCAGCCAGGCTGCAAAAACTAGGGCAAAGACATTTGAGTTGGTAGCATTCCCTTTTCCCAGGTCACTTTCTATAAAGTCAGGAAGAACAGGGGCTGGAGGATGCCTCAGTGGTTAAGAGCACTGTCTGCTCTTGCAGAGATAGATTCCCAGCTTTCACATGGTGGCTAACTCCAGTCCATAACTCCAGTTTCAGGGGATCCAGCATCCTCTTCCGACCTCTGTGGGCATTGCACACATGGGTGCACTTACATACATGCAGACAATACACTCATACACATAAAATAAATATGGGGCTGGAGAGATGGCTCAGCAGTTAAGAGCATTGACTGCTCTTGCAGAGGACCTGGGTTCAATTCCCAGCACCCATATGGTGGCTATGAACTGTCCTTAACTCCAGTTCCAGGGGAATCCGAAGCTCTCTTCTGACCTCCGTGGAACTGCACGACATGGGTGCACTCACATACATGCAGGCAATATGCTCATACACATCAAATAATAAAAATAATGCCGGGCATGGTGGCACACACCTTTAATCCCAGCACTTGGGAGGCAGAGGCAGGTGTATTTTTGTGAGTTCGAGGCCAGCCTGGTCTACACAGTGAGTTCCAGGACAGCTGGGGCTACAGGGAGACCCTGTCTCAAAAAAGACAAAAAAAATAAAATATTAAAATAAAAAAAAAAAGAAAATCAAGAATAGGTGACATTTGTCTAAAGGTACTCAGAGGCTCATCCCTTATCAACACCAGCTGGACACTTGATTACTAGAAAATTATCATCCATGATTAAGTTGACATGTTTCCTTATATGTCAATTGACTATTTTTTTATTTACAGATCTTTAATAAATTTTTTTTTCATGTGTATGGGTGTCTGTGTCACATGTGGGTCCCTGCAGAGGCCAGAAAAGTGTTTGATTCCTAGGAGCTAAAGGTCCAGGTGGTTGAGACACCTGACCTGGGCATTGGGAACCAAACTTAATCTTGGGAGAGTAGCAGGTGCTCTTAACTACTAAGCCATCTCTCTAGCCCTCCATCTCCTGGCTTCTTAAAAGACAGGGTCTCATATAACCCAGGCTAGTCCTCTTAACTTGCTAGACAGCTGAAGATGACCCTGAACTTCTGATCCACTTGCTTCTACCAGGGATTACAAGGGACACTTCCACACCTGGCTACAGCTTACCATTCCAATGCAAAAGTAGCCTCAACATGAACTTTGACAAAAAAAGAGCTTAAGTCAGAGCCACTGATCATTAGCTTTATTCCCACACTTGAGGACACCTCCCAGCACAGGTCTAGAGATTATCACCTCCATCTCCCTTCATTCTTCACAACAGAAGACTCAGTCCCCAGTCCATCAGGCCCCAAACCCACACCTAAGACAAAACAGATCTTTTAATGTGCAGCACACAGAGGCCCAGCCAACCAGCAGCGCAGCATGCACACCTTCCCTTAATTCTGGCATTGGGATCTCTGTGATTTTGAGGCCAGTCTCGTCTATGTAGCTAGTACCAGACCAACCAGGGCTACATAGTGAGATCCTGTCTCCAAAAACAAAAAAACAAACCCCACCCAAAATGCACAGGTCATATTAGTTGGGGCTGCAGCTCAGTAGTAGAGCACTTGTCCAACATGTATGAGGCTCTGGGCTTAATTCGCAGTACGGCCTTCTCACCCTGCTCCACCACCAAAAAAAAAGTAAGATCTAAAATCTGCTTTAGAGAGATATAATGACCCACATGTTGATTTATGTCAGACTGGCTGGGGATGTAGAGAGCTCACCAGTAGAAAACTTGCATAGTGTTTTTGAGACCCTGGATTTGATCCCTAACACCACACAAAAAGTAGAGCAATAATATTTAAAACTTGTTCACTGCCAGACATGGTAGGGAATATCTATAACCCCAACAATGGGAGACTGAGGCAGGAGGATTACAAGTTTGAGGCCAGCCTGGACTACATAGAAAAACTTGTCTCAAAAAAAACCAAAAACCTAAACTATAAATAAATATGGTTTTTCAACAAAGATACCTTTCTCTACCTAGTTATGCGATGACTAGACCAGCCTGCACCCTCAGTGAGACATGGAGCAGATTCTCTCTTCCCTTGAAAGCTCACCAGGGTTCAGACAATTCAGATGTTTTGGAAGGCTTCGGCTCTGATACATCACAGAAGAAAAGCACAGGCAATGGCCACAAAACCAGACTGCTGTTATGCACTTGGCTTTGAGGAGCTGAAACAGAGACTAGGCGGTCCAATCTTAGAAATGATAGCATGAAACCAAAAGCTTGGTTAAAATTAGTTCTGACCCCACGTATGGATTCCCCCAACCTATTACTTTGAACAGAAGCCACTAGAGGTGGGATCAGTCCTCAAACCTCAGCTAAGGTTGGCTCCTGTGTCGCCCATCGAGGTCAAGGAGCCAAGTGTGAGTATAAAGTGGAGCTAGCAAGAAGAGCTCCCTGCCAGCTCTGAAGCAAGAGGCAGAGAAGTTGTCAGGACTTCTAGGTAAGTCTGGGAGACACGGACGGCAAACTAAAGTTGATTTAAACAGACCTCATGAAAGAGAAAAATCACTTGCAGGTCTTACAAAAGGGGGAAAATAGAAAGAAAAAACCCCAGACCATCCATGGCCAGGCAGATAAAGCAGCAAAGAGGTGGCCTTGGGCTTGGGGAGAGCAGATCGGATCGGGGGAGCAGATCTCCCGAGTTGGGCGAGATGGGTCTCTGTGCATGGAGGACTGCATCATGTGTCTCTGAAGCAGTTCCACGTGAAGGTTCATCTCTTTCCCCAGACAAAACTGAGATGAGAGCCTCACTGATCCACCAAACCGAAGCCGCAGCTCCTCAGCTGACCCACTTCCCCGAGGCTCTCCACTCTGGCATGGATGATTCCGCTTTACCGCCAGGCTCGATTAAGGAGCTTCACCTGTGCCAGCCTTTTTGTGATCATGGTGGCAAAAACCAGGCCAAAGAGGACACTGCTAATTAGCACATAGTCGTAGTCATCCTTGAGGACATCAAACTGCTTGGATGGGTAGACTCGGGTTTGGTAGATGTCCAAACCATAGGCCACAACCTGAAAGACAGAAAGAATGAGAGCTGGGAAGAAAGGCAGCAGTGAGCCCAGCACCTTAGCCGCAGTCAGGAAGGAAAGAGGATCCCTGGGGCACCAGGGCACAGCAGCAGATGCCACAGAGGACTACTCACCAAACAAGTAGATTCCAGGCCTGAGGGTGCTGTGTAGATGCCTCGAATTCGAGAGACTGTCTGGTTATAGTTGATGAATCGCTCTGCATGGATCTGCACATCCGGAGAATAGGGAATCAAGTTCTCCTCTCTGCAAAACACAGGTGGTGGGCAGGGCTCTGAAAACTGCTGTAAACCGATCTCTTCCTTGGCTGCCCTTCCTAGGGCCTGGGAGGGTTCCAGGACACATCTAATCCTCAGTCTCCTTTAGGTCTGCTTGTATTAGGTAATTAAAAATGCAGCAGCTGAATGGTGGGAAGGGCTGCAAGGAAGATGGGCTGGAGACAAAGGCTAAGCACCAGATTCCTCAGCACTCAAACCTCGAAAAGAAAACAGAACGGCCGGGTGTGGCACACTCAGGAGGCAGAGGCAGGCAGATCTCTGTGAGTTCAAGAACAGCCTGGTTGGAAAAACCTGTTTCCAAAAGACCAAAAACAAAACAAAACAAAAAACAGAACACGAGCTGGGCATGGTGGTGCATACCAATAAATCTCAGCACATAGGAAACTGAGGCAAGAAGATTGAGGCTAGCTTGGGCTACACAGTGAGTTCTAGGCCAGCCTCAGCTACAGTGAAATCCTGTCTGAAAAAAAGAAAACATAGCACAGATGACCAACGCTGCACAGAAGAGGAAAGCCAGGTTGTTTTCTGTTTTTAAATAAAGATTTTATCTATTTACTTATTTTATTTATTTTTATTTTATGTGTCTGGGTATTTTGTTTGCATGTATGTAATGTAAGTGCACCATGTGTTATACAGTGCCTGCAGAGGCCAGAGAAGGATGTTGGAACTCCTGGAACTGGAGTTACAGATGGCTGTTAGCTGCCATGTGGATGCTGGGAACAGAATCCAGGTCATCTGCAAGAGCAGCCAGTGCTCTTAATTACTGAGCCATCTCTCTAGCCCCAGAATTTATTTTTATTTTATGTGTTTGTGTGTTTTGCTTGTGTGCATGTTTATGAACCACATGCTTGCAGTGCCCAAGGAGGCCAGAAGAGGGCATCTGATCCCCTGGACCTGGAGTTACTAAATGGCCACGAGAACCAAATTCAGGTCCTCTGGAAGAGTAGCGAATGCTCTTAACCCCTGAGCCATCTCTCCAGGCCCAGTGGGGCCATTTTCAAAACAATACACTGAGCCACTGGCCAACTCCTGCTCTTCACAGGAGTACCTCTGTCCCACTTACCCTTGGAAAACCTGCCACCATTCTTCCCAGCTTTACCCACTCTCTTGCGCAGTGCTCCAAGCCATACCCCTCTGTTCCTCCCACTGCCCACGCTTCTTCTGTCCATAAGTGAGACTTCAGGATGGAGGTGAGGAAACATGCAGAGATAGTGGCCTGAATGTTCATGCTGATAGTGAACAATGAACAAGCTCTTGGCCTCCCCCAGTGATCTGCCTCTCCGTCACCCCCAGCCCATATCTCCACCATCACTGTTCCAGTCACATAGATCTCACACTCAGCAGACATGACTTCAGGGCCTTGATGCTAACTGTTCCCTCTGCCCAAAACATTCTCCCTCAGACATCCACCCAAGTGGGTACCTTTATCACCTTCTGGTCACCTTTCCAGGGGCCACCCAACCTCAGATGTCATCCAGGCATGTTCCTCATACTCCTGCCAGCTGTCTCTGAACCCTTTCTCCTTAGCATTTACAAGTAGCACAGCGTTCGCCTTACCTGTTACCTAAAGTCATTTCCCGCCAGACACTAGCTCCATGAGGTGAGCTCCTTGTCACATCTGTTCACACCCCCAGTCCCTGGCATGACAGACTGAGGACCAAAATTTCCTGACAGGCAGAGCCTTCTACCCACGAGGGTCTCACCTGGTTTGTTCTGTTGGGATCTCAGGACGCCGGGGATCCAGCAAGGCTTTGGGGAGCGAAAGAATTGCTCCAGAAGGCAGCCCAACTGCACGGGAAAAAGCGAAGGTTCACAGTTGCCCAACCCTGGATAAGGGTCAGTTACACAGATGTTTAAAACAAACAAAAAAGCTCACCAAGGACCTGTTAAATAACCAAAAACCACCTGAAAATAGTAATCCAGTAAGAACTTTGGATGTAAATGAAGGTGCCCACTTCTGAAGACACTGGCTTCTTCACATAACTAAGTCAACAGAAAATAAAGTCCTAGGCAAACATGGACCATGTGGACTGCTGTGTAATGCAGCCAGGAGGGCAGAGAACCAAGCGGCATTAGACAGGACCAGTTTCAGTGATAACGATCAAAGGTCATATGATGCCCAGAGCCGGCTTCCCCCTATTAAACAGTAAAATAGTAACACCCAATGCCTGTCGACTCTGAGAACCTCTCACCCCCAGAGTTCCAAATGTCTTGGGTAATCTCAAGCAAGCACAGGAGCCTGTTAAACAATCACTGAGTCCTGAGCTTTCACTGGTTTCTACGTGAGCCTAAAGGCTGTGTTATGAATGATATCGGACTGGAGAGATGGCTCAGCAGTTAAAAGCACTAGCTGTTTTCACAAAGGACCCAGGTTCAGTTCCCAGCATCCACATGGTGGCTTCTGTAACTGCAGCTCCAGAGGATTCAATGTCTTCTTCTGACCTTTGTGGGCATAGCATGTGACATGGGTGCACTTACATACATGCAGGCAATATATTCATACACATAAAATAAAAATAATAAAATATTGCTCGGCATGGTGGCGCATGCCTGTAGTCTCAGCACTTAGGAAGCAGAGGCAGGTGGATCTCTGTGAGTTCAAGGCCAGCCTGGTCTACATAGTGAGTTCTAGGCCAGCTGGGACTACAGGGAGACTCTGTTTCAAAAAGACCAAAAAATAATAATAGTATTAAAAAAAAAAAAGAATGACATCAGACTGGGCATGGTGGTGCTTGCCCATAATCCCAGCACTCAGGTGGTGGAGGCAATATGATTAGGAGTTCCAGGCCAGCCCAGCCCAGGCTACATGTAACTGTGTCTCAACAAAGAAACAAACCAAAAAAACAAAAGAGACAGAAAGACAGAAAGACAGACACCAGGAGCCAGACTCAGAAGACAAATATCTCATATGCAGAAAGATTGTGTGTGTGTGTGTGTATGTGAGTATGTGTCCATGCTGAGGTTATGAAAGTAGAAAGGGGAAATGAACAGCAGGCCCCAATCTTAGTCAAAGAATTATTGGCAGCTGGTTACTGCTGGGTGAGGAAGAGCTGGTCTTCTTAAAGGGAGGGACTCTAGGTAGACTGACCAGACCTCAGTGGATGGATGAACTTGCACTGAGAGACACCTGGGGAACTTAATTTACATGACAGACCTTAACACAAATGACAGAATGTATGAACTCTGAGGGCGGGGTGTGGGGGGTTGGGTATAGGTGGGTGTCAAAGGGGAAGGGGGTATAAAGATGATTTTATGTATAAAATACACAAAAATTCAATAAAAAATTGTAAAAAAGAAAGTAGAAATGGGTCCATGAAAGGAGAGGATGGGATCTTAAGTGTGTGTGTAGGGGGTCATGTAAAGAAGTAGATGTTCCATGAGAAATTGAGGGGACTATGTAGAGGAAGGGCAGGGACCAGCAGGAGAAGGGGAAGGGGGTTAGGGGAAGGGGATAAATAAGAACCAAGAATAATGACATATATGCATGAAAACACCAAAATCATCCATTACTACGTATGCTAACCTAAAATTCTTTTTTAACATAGTTTTTTAAAAAATATTTCATTTATTATTTTTATTTTATGAGTGTATTGCCTGCATGTATATGAGTGCACCTGTGTCATGCAATGCCGTGGAGGTCAGAGAGGGCTTCGGATTCCCCTGAAACTGGAGTTAAGGACGGTTCATAGCCGCCATGTGGGTGCTGGGAATCGAACCTGGGTCCTCTGCAAGAGCAGTCAGTGCTCTTAACCACTGAGCCATCTCTCAAGCCTGTAGTCTCAGCTTAATATAGTTTTTTGGTTATTTTTTTTGGGGGGGGGTCTTTTTGAGACAGGGTCTCCCTGTAGCCCCAGATGTCCTGGAACTCACTATGTAGACCAGGCTGGCCTTGAACACACAGAGATCTGCCTGCCTCTGCCTCCCGAGTGCTGGGATTAAAGACGTGCACCACCATGCCTGGCTTTAATATAGTATTTTAAAAAATACATCAGGGATGGATTTCTGAGCTAGAAGCAGCAGCAAAGAAAGTGGCTCATGAACCCTGAGGACTGAGGGAAGGTGGTCATCTACAGAGCAGAGCTAACTACGGGAACAAGTGGCGTGCTACTCCCCTTCCTCCTCCCGTTTCCGTCCTCCCCCCTCCCTGCTGGCCGTGCATCCTCACTTCAGTGTGGCTGCCTAGAGGGATTCCATCAACCCAAAGCACTGGACACTCACTGAGCAGGTGTCGGCTGGTGATGCCCCGCTCGGTGATGGTGGCTTCCATGGCACTGATAGAAGAGGGGAAGATGTAAGACTGCTGGAGGATCTGGGGCAGCTGGGGCCGGTCCAGGGAGCTGAAGGCTGTGGCGTTGTACTGCTCAGTGCCCTCGTAGAGCTCCAGGACAGTCAGTTCATTGCGCCGAGCCTTGGAGTTCCAGTACTGGTACTGCGGTGGGGGAAGCAGTTTGGGCTTAGTGTCAGCTCAACTAGGAAGGGAAGGCTACACTACAGATATATTCACATTGGCTGTAGATCAGACCCAACTGATCCCTGTTTTTCTTCCTTGCTCCAAATCTAACTTTCATGATAGTTTTTCTAGGGTGTGTTTACCATGACACAAGAATTGCCAACGTTCTCTGACATAACAAGAGCTAACAAGGTGTCAAGCAATGTTCTAAGCTAGCCTAGAGGTAACTATTACTACCCTTACTTCACAATGCAACACAGAGAGCGCACGTGACTAGTTCAAGGTTGTACAAGTGGGCATGGGAAGAACTGAGGTCAAGCCCAGGAGGTCTGAGTTGATCCCCAGGCACTACTCCCTATCTGGACTCTACACTGTCTTCCAGGGGTTGAGATCCTAATAAAGCACAAAAGCCCATCTGGGTTTCTGGAAAGGACATAAGACACAGGGAGACCTGAGCTGCCTGTGTCCCTGGCACTGACTCCTTACCACCACCCAGTTCTCTGAATGCACGATGTGGACGGGGCCCTTAGCCTTCTTCTGCACGGAGGAGTGGATGATGCGGCCAGTGACACCATCGATGAGGAAGATGCCAATAAAGGTGCGCTCGTGGTGTACATCTGTGCTTTCTGTCACCACAGCCAGCAGGTTGGGGTTCAGGCTCTAGGAGGAGAAAAAAACCACTGTCAAACTTTCAGAACTACAACATGTTATGTACCTGGCTATCCTGTGAGCCCTGGGGCCAGAAGCTCCGGGCAAAGGAACCAGGATCACTGGGCAGAACAGCTTCGTGTGTAGTTTCTCAACTCCATGCTTGTTCTGTGTGTTCCGCTGTCTACCACCGAGAGGCCTTGCGTTTCCCTGAGTCCTCTACGCAGCCTTGAGAAGGGGCCATTACTATGCACATTTCATGATGAGGAAGCCAGAGCAATGAAGCAACTTCTCCAGTCAGAGCTACTCAAGGCAATACCCCAGGTCAATCAGCCCAGAGATAAGGCGCCACTTCTCTTCACCCAATATCCCTACCCCTAACTGCAGAGGACAGGTGCTGGTCCTCAGCTTGTGGTAACAGCAGTACCATGTGACACAAATGATCGTGCCCTTGTTCAGGCACCTCCACCTGGCATCCAGGATGCCCAGCCTGGTCTCTCTTCTGCCTCCCTGGCCTTTCCTCAGTCTGTAGAGGTTCCTCTGCATCTTCCCAGGAAACCCCAGGCCTTGTCCATCCTCATCTCATAGTGACCTCAGCCAACCTCGTGGCTTTACCACTGTGTACAGGGGACAACAAAACTTGTCATGTAACCCAGCCAGGCTCTCCTCTGCACTCCAGACATTACTAGTCAACAGGTACCATGGTGTTTCCCTTTGGGTGGCTCATCTGACACTTCCCATGCCCTAGGCTGAACCATTTACCCTGCCTAAGCCTGCTCCATCTCAGCAACACCATCAACAGTGACCCCATTTCCATGTCTTGGAACTAAGCCATTCATTCTGCTCTGGCTCCCTTCTCTCAGTGAGGTCCTCCTGAGCCTACCTTTTTTTTTTTTTTTTTAATATTTTTTTATTTTTATTTTATACGTATGAGTGTATCACCCGCATGTATGTGAGTGTGCCTGTGTTGTGCAATGCCGCGGAGGTCAGAAGAGGGTTTCAGATTCCCCTGGAACTGAAGTTAAGGACGGTTCATAGCCACCATGTGGGTGCTGGAAATCGAACCCGGGTCCTCTGCAAAAGCAGTCAGTGTTCTTAACTGTTGAGCCACCTCTCCAGCCCCTAGCCTCCCATTTTAAATCAGAGCCCCCTACCAGTCCTGACTGTAAAGCCTCACTCATTACTAGAATGCTATAACGTACCTTGTAGAGCACACTGCGATCCCCCATCACCCGGCCCTGGGAATGGACATGCTCACTGGTGCGTTTCCCCTTCACCTTGACGATCCGCTGTACTTCTGGGGGAATGGTCAGCTCCCAGCTCAGTTCAGTGGTGAGATCCTAGAACAGAAGCAAGAGGGTCTGTGATTAGGAGGGACGCACAGGCCAGGGACACTGGCAATGGACACATTCTGCAATTCCGTATCTGAGTCCTGTGTGATAGAAAGAACAGAATCAGAATGCCTCAAAAACAAACTACAAAATACCAATGAAGACTTGGCTTGGGCTGGGAAGATAGCTAAATCTGTAAAGCATTCGCTGAGTTCAGTTCCCATAACCCAAGGAAATAAAGACTGGCATGGTGGTGTGTACTTATGACCCTAGTGCTGGTGAAGTGGCCAGCCAATCTAGCCTACTTTGTGAGCTCCAGGGCAGTGAGAGACCCGGTTTCAAAAATAAGATGAACAGCACCTGAGGAATGACATTCAAGGTTGTCCTGCGGCCTCCACACATATGTACACATATGCACATGCAAACCCACATTCCCCACCCTTCCACAATAAATAAATGTAAAAAAAAAAGTTAAATTGGGCTAAAGAGATGGGTCAGTGGTTAAGAGCACTTGACTGTGCTTGTAGGATACCTGGGTTCCATTCCCAGCACCCACATGGCAGATAACAACCATCCATAACTCCAGTTCCAGAGCATCTGATGCCCTCTTCTGGCTTCTGTGGGCACCAAGCACATACATGGTACACATACATACCTTAGGCCAAACACTCAAACACATAAAAATTTAAAACAGGGGCTGGAGAGATGGCTCAGCGGTTAAGAACACTGATTATTCTTGCAGAAGTTCCGGGTTTGAATCCCAGCACCCACATGGCAGCTAACAACTGTCCCTAACTCCAGTCCCAGGAGATCCAGCAGCCTCTTCTGACCTCCTCGGCCATTGCACGACACAGGTGCACTTACCTACATGCAGGCAATACATGCATACACATAAAATAAAAATAATAAATAAAATTTAAAAAAAATTAAAACAGTAATAACAAAAACAGATGGGCCAGCAAGACAGGTCAGCAGATAAAGGCTCTTGTCAACAAATCTGATGACCTGAATTTGATCCCCAGTTTGTCACATGGTAAAAGAGAGAACCTGTGGGGGCCTAAAGGCCCTGCCTTGCCAAGAGGCACCGAGAGGAAGTTACTGGGGCGCTGCCTGACTTGTTTTGAAGATCATCGGATTGGATGCCTCCATAAGCTTTCATGGGCTCCTGCCTGCATGCATGCACTGACCTTTAAGCTGATTGGAGAACTATAAGGGGTGGGGGAATTATAAGCACCCTGCCCTGCTGCAATAAATGAGTTCCTGCTTGATTGGACTCCCCGTTGCGTCTAATTGTTCCTGGTGCTGGGGGCGGCAGGGGCTGGTGAACAGCGTGCTTACTCATCCCCAGTCATCCTTGCGCAGGGGTTGCAGGCTTGAACCCCCCACAAGAACCGACTCCCACAAGTTGTCCACTGGCCTCACATGTGTTGTGGCATGTGTCTACCCCCACACACAAGTAAAGATAAATGAATGAATGAAAGAATGAAGGAATGAATGAAAGAAAGCCACTAAAGCTGGGAGCAGGGCTGTGCCCCTGTTGGTACAGTGTGTGTAGAGCATGCTTGAGACCCTGCATTTTATCCCTAACATGGCATACCTGGTGGCCCATGCCTGTAACTCCAGCACTGAGAAAGTGGATCAGAAGTTCAAGGCCATCTTCAGCTACCTAGAGTCCGAAGCCCCAAGAGTGTTCTACTATTTATCTCAAGAGGAAGTAGTCAAGGAAAACTCATTTACCAACAAAATGTGCAATCCCTATATACTAGGGTCAATAGCAGGGACCCTGAAATAGTCCCAGTATGGTTCTATGGTCAGAGGAAACAAATACACATTTGCTGCCCAATTTTTTTTTTCAATTTATATATTTATTTTGTGCATGTGTGTGTACATGTGTGCTATGGTGCAGATGCGGAGGTCAGAGGAAAACATAGGAATCAGTTTTCTCCTTCCACCACGTAAGTTCTGGGGACTGAACTCTGGTTGACAGGCTTGACAGCAAGCACCTTTACCATCGCACTAGCCCTCATCATCTTTTTTTTTCTTTTTAATTATTTGTTTTTTTGAGAAAGGGTCTCCCTGTAGCCCCAGCTGTCCTGGAACTCACTATGTAGACCAGACTGGCCTTGAACTCATAGAGAACTGGGAATTAAAATCTTTTAATCCTGCCCCACCTTGTAAAACTTTTGTTTGTGCAAAGGCCCTTCCTTCCCTTTAGGCCAACCCCTCTACTCTGTCCTTCATTACCTTGCTCCAGTCCTTTCTTTGTTGAGACAGGGTCTCCCTGTAGCCACAGCTAACCTGGAGCTCACTATGGGGACCAGGTTGGCTTGGAACTCACAGAGATCCGCCTGCCTCTGCCTCCCGAGTACTGGGATTAAAGGCATGTGCCACCACACCCAGCTATCATCTTATTTTATAGATATGAAAACAGAGGGCCATTAGACATAGTGTGTTGTATATACAAAGTTAATGAATGATAAAGCTATACGACAAACCCAGGCAGCTGGGTCCAAGCTGCTAGTATCTGTGACCTTACCTCTCAAAACATCTGTTAAAAAAATATTTTGCTGGGCATGGTGGTGTTGGGGACCCCTGCTGTGTTAAGTCGAAGTCTCTCCATGTCCGGATAGCCCAAGGGGCTCGGCGTTCTTAGGCAGAGACTCCTTTTCTCAGCAGGGCGCCCCCCTACTCTCTTCCTGACTCATCTTTGAAGTAGCCGTCACAGATACATAGCCTCTGGCATAGGAACTGCCAGGTTTTCCTGTGTGATAATCAGATAACGTCTGGCAGCCTGGCAGGAGCCCACCACCACATGTAAATAGGGCATCCTAAAAGCACCTATCAATTAAGGCTTTTACCACTGCCCCCACAGTATAAGTATCCTGGTTTCCCCTCAATAAATTGGAGCTGGATCACCAAGACTTGGAGCGAGCTGAATCACTAAGACCTGGAGCCGAGCTGAGTCACTGAATAAAGGAGCTGTACCACTGAGTCTGACTGAGCTGAGTTCTGTGTCTTACTGCCTACGATTCAGTCTGTCTGACTCACGAAGACCCTGCTTTCACTGTTCCCGCACCTCCCCTCGTGACCCGGCAGCTGACGGATCTCGAACCTAGAGGGAGTGCCCGGTAGATTGGAATGGAACACGCCTGGAAGCGCAGTGACCAGTAGAGTCGCCAGCATCCAGTAGCTGCGGAGACCCTCAGCAACGCGGTGCGCAACGCGTGTACCCCAGCAACACGGCGCGCGGGACCCACCCCAGCGTCGCGCAAGAGACAGGCGCCAGCCAGCAGCTGGCGCTCCGGGAAACCCGCACGCCCATATGGTGGCACACGCCTGTAGTCCCAGCACTTGGGAGGCAGAGGCAAGCAGATCTCTGTGAGTTCAAGGCCAGCCTGGTCTACATAGTGAGTTCCAGGCCAGATGCAGTGACAGGGAGACCCTGTCTCAAAAAGACCAAATAAAATTTTTGTTATTTTTATTTTATGTGTAGGAGTGTATTGCCTGCATGTATGTAAGTACACCCATGTTGTGCAATGCCTGTGGAGGTCAGACAAGGACTTCAGAGTCCCTGGAACTGTAGTTATGGCCGCCATGTGGGTGCTGGGAACTGAACCCAAATCCTCTGCAAGAGCAGCCAGTGCTCTTAACCACTGAGTCATCTTTCTAAGCCCCTCTCAAAACATCTTAAAGGACAGAAGGGAAGGGTTCTCTGATGACCAGACACCACAAAATTTTCCCCATTATACAGTCCTGCAAACAAAGCCAAGGCCAGCCCCTTCTGAAATTTGCAGTCAGGGTATATCACTGTTAACAAGGGCTGGACTCAAGTACATCAGGGCCAGAGCCAACGGACCCATTTCTGGAAAAAAAATTCAAAGAATATGTTCTGTTTCAAGTCGGTTGAGAACTTCATTCTTGTATAATGGACATCTTAAGCCCCATTCTGACCTCCCATCCTCAGAATGGTGTAACATACCCCTGGGCTGCAGAAAAGGAGTGTGAAATGAAAGGTCCATGAGAACACAGACTTGGCCCACCAAGCACTCCCGTCTGTAGCACCTAGAGCTATGTCCACCACACAGCAGCTGGCCAGCAAACATGAACAGATGGCCACCTCTGAATCAGACAGCAGGGTCCGTTTCAACAGGATGAGCGGCATGGTTCACGTTTTAGCCAAGCAACCAGGAAAGACCCACATCACTCCATAAAGTGTCCTGCCAGGTGTTCCTTCCCTACCTTTCGAAGACGATATCCACTGAGTTGTCCCTGTTCTGCATCCACCAGGTAGAAGAAGATGGAAGGGGCTAGCTCATGCAACTGTCGCAAGACATTCCGAGTGGCAGGGAAAGCTGTGACCTCGAAAAACACCCAGATGACCCAGAAGAGTTAAAGTTCAGAAATCTGGAAGTCTCACTTCCTAGAAACCATTACTGTTTACCCATTATAGAAAGTTTTAAGACTATAACAGCAAATCTTAAAAAAAAAAATGAGTCAACTGAGCTCCATTTACGGCTTAAAATTATAGTTTTGTTGGGGCTGGAGAGATGGCTCAGCAGTTAAGAACACTGGTTGTTCTTGCAGAAGACCCCGCTTCAAATCCCAGCACCCACATGGCAGCTAACAACTGTCCGTTAACTCCAGTCCCAGGAAATCCGACAGCCTCTTCTGACCTCCACAGGCACTGCACGACACAGGTGCACTTACCTACATACAGGCAATACAGTCATACACATTAAAAAAAAAGAAATACAGTTTTGTTAAGAACCTGAGTATTAGCCAGGCGTGGTAGTGCACACTTGTAATCCTGGCACTTGAGAGACTGAGGCAGAAGGACTACCTTGAGTGAGAAGCCTGCCTGAGCTACATAGCGAATTTCAGGCCAGGCTAGACCAGCCTGGACTATGGTGTCAGACTCTTGTCTCAAAAAAAAAACAAAAAACAAAGAGACAGAAGGAGAAAAGAAAGAACTTGAGTGCTCACACTGACACAGGCAGAAAGAGAAGAACAGTCATGTTACAGAGGAGGCCTGAGAACAAACATGCCAGTTGAACACAGAACACACGTCTGACCCACCACTTGTGTCTGATGTCCCACCCCACATCCAGCGACACAGAAAGCCTCCACCCTGAAGAGAAAGTACCTTGTACTCATCATCTATCAGCAGCAACACCTTGGCATAGTCTTGATCCATGACTGGGAGAAGCAAGGACTGCAAGATGGGGCGCTTCAGCACAGGGGCAGCCACCTGGCTCCACTTGCCAAAAACAGGGTTGAAGACATACAGGGAGCTCATGCCTGTTTCCTAAAATGGGCAGCAGACCATCAGATTCACAGAGTACACAAATCCTACAGGTAAGCCTGGAAAGCCAAGGCTTCAACTCAACTGTTAGGAACTCCCTGATCTTTGCCCTCTTTGTGAAGCCAGTTCTTGGGGCTAGAGAGATGGCCCAGCGGTTAAGAGCACTGACTGCTCTTGCAGAGGACCCGGGTTCGATTCCCAGCACCCACATGGTGGCTACGAACCATCCTTAACTCGTTCCAGGGGAATCTGAAGCCCTCTTCTGGCCTCCGCAGCATTGCACGACACGGATGCACGCATATACATGCAGGCAATACACTCATACACAAAAAATTAAAAAAAAAGAAAAGTCAGTTCTCAGCTGTAAAAGACTGGTTCCCAGCAGGGCGTAATGGTACACGCCTATAATCCCAGCACTTGGGAGGCAGAGGCAGGCGGATCTCTGTGAGTTCAAGGCCAGCCTGGTCTACACAGTGAGTTCCAAGACAGCTGGGGCTACAGGGAGACCCTGCCTCAAAAAAACCAAAAAAAAAGACTGGTTCCCTAATCAAGTACAAAAGGAGAAAAGGATGAATTGCCTGTTTCCAAACCTAACTCGGCATGCTCAGTGACTCAGTGGTAGAGTCTCTGCTCAGCATGTGTAAGGCCCCAAGTCTGACTCTGAGAACAACAAGAAAAACAAAGGCAGGTGTGGTTCAGAAATCCAATGACTGACAATCCAAAAGAGAATTTACTTACCACCACCACCACCACCACCACCACGCCCCTCCGCAACATAGCCAGAATAGATCCATTCAAACCATTCAAATTCTAGAAGCAGAGATTTCAATCTTTGTGATCTCCTCCCCACCAAAGAGAAGACAGCCACATTGGAAAAGTGCTGGCTGAAGGTGGCCCAGGTCACTACTCAGTTCCACAGTGGTACTGGATGGTTTCTCCACCCAGACCAGAAACTGGCAGAAATGAGACTTCCAACCCTGGTTCCTTTGGCTTCTCAAGGAATGCCCAAGGCATGGGAGAAATGTGAACTGTAGCTTCTGTCAGAGGTGGCTGGCCTCACCTTGTCCTTCACCAGCAGCGTGCACTGAGGGGGGTGGGGGAAGTGAGCAGTGGTTCTCTGGACCATCAGCTTAAAGGAGGAGTCTGGCTTGACATTGGGTAGATACTGCTTCCATAGGATGGTGCCAGAGCTGCTCTCGATGCCAAAAAGCTGCAAGATAAACAAATACGTGGCTCGTGTCTAGAAAGAGAAGCCAAAGAACTGATTGTATGCTTGCCGCCCCGCCCTGGGAAGGTTTGCTTCCTGGGGCTTACACCCGCACCTTGCCTGAAGCTGTGACCATCACCATCATCTTCTGCAGGTTGAATTCATCTCTAGCCAAGGTGTCAATGTTGATCTCATTCTTAATCTGGCTTCGTGGCTTCCGTGCATCATAGAACATTTTCCAGAGGTGGGAAGTCCAGGCCTGGAGCAGGATGAGCTGAGATGACAGGCGTTTCAGGAACATCCCCAGCAAGCCGTCTGGTGTTAGGGAAAGGGTACTCTGCATCAGAGTAGGAATCCAGCAAGGAGGTGCATGCTTTCCCGGGGAGGAACCTCAGCCTCTCCTGCAGAACCTTCCAGTCACTCACACCCCAGGCCATCAGTTCAAGGGGCAGTCTGTGTCAGATGCTGGTAATCTCACACTCAGGTACAGCCATTCACAAACCTCCTTACCTGGCTCCTAAGACTTCACCCACCTAGAATCTTATAATAGGAGACTAAGAGGTCAGGGAACAGCCATGCAGGATGCAGCCATGCTGTGAATGTCTGCCCCACAGCCCCATATCTGGGATAACCAGTGGAAGGCATCTGGGTGCCACAACAAAGCCAGAGAAGTGTGGGTATGGGGCACAGTGGGAGCAGGTGCCCGTACACATGGTGCTGCTTCCCGCTGCTTCCTTCTACTTTGTTAACTGTTAAACCTGCTCCCACACTTCCTGTAAACCATTCCTAACGCCATCATTCCCCTTTGCCCCTGACTCATAGGTGAGGCTACCTCCCTCCAGATGTCCTCTATTAGAGATGAGATTTGATTACAGGTACACGGTAGCATGAACTCTGGCAGGCCTGGATTAACATCCCAGCTCTAGATGCTACTGCTGTGTGACCTTGAGAAATGCACCTAACCTTTGTGCTTTTGGACCCTCCTCCATTAAATGGTCTGTTATAAAGATCACATGACATCCACTCAGGACTGGGTACAGTGTCCAGTACACGGAGCCTGGTGCATGGTAAGTGCTTGCCAAGAGTATTAGCTTTGCTCACCTTCTTTCCCACCCACCTCAGCTCAAGGAAAGTAAGTGAAAGGCAGAGAGGACAAGTCACAAGCAGAGCAGTCCACACATACATGGTGTGTGTCTCACTGATGCAAGTCAGAAAAACAATTTACCAAAGGCTAGCCATGTGTGCAAGCAAGGAGCAACACGGCAGCAAAAAGCAGGATTTACCTTGAATCGCTGGATCCAGCAGCAGAAATAAATAGTAAAGTCAAATTAATCTTCAGCTTAAGAAAGTGTAAGACACCTACTAGGGTGCCTGGCCCAGAGAAAGCCCTCAACAGCTGGGTAACTGGATGAATGGACGGAGGGGAGTGTGGGGATACTAGCCTGAGGCAGAAAGGAGTAAATCAAGTTCAGCTAGGGGACTGGGACATGGATGGTTTCAGAGGACCTGGAGTCATTTCCGTAATAAACACATCAATAAGCATGTTTCCACAATAAACACATCCTGTCTCTGTTGATTCAGACAATGGATGCATGTGACGTGGAGCCTGACTATTTTGGGTACCCAGGTAATGACATTTACTACTATACTAAGAGAAGACATTTTTGCCTCAGGATCTTTCTCTAAAGGGACTCACAGTTCACCCTTCCAGAAAGAGAGCTGCATAAACCACGGACTACTGATGCACTGAAAACTGGTCACAGAGCTCCTTCAAAACATCTGGCTGAGCCCTGGAAGCCAGGGGCACTGTGAGGTCTATAAACCCAGCCAACCCAGCCCTGGAATAGTCTCCTCAGGTTCATACCTGCCTTCTTGCCAAATTCTCCTTCCAACTCAGCCTGGGCCCCCGTCAGAGGGAGGTCCACCATCTCCAGGCACACCACTTCTGCCAGGGACTCCTCACGGCTCCACAACACCACCTTCCCAGCTACGGGAAACCAGTATGCAAAGGTTCAGTCTGTATCCACAGCCCTCGGAGGAGACTCCTGTAGGCATCTCAGAGATCAAGCCTTACGTAAAGGATCCCAGGAGCCAGGCCAATAGGTCAAGGGAGAAAGGTTCTATATCTTACTGCACACCACTAAGGAATCAAGGAAATGCTCAGGGTACACTCCACTTGAACCTTTCCTAAGCCTTACACAATACTACCCCCCAACAGGTATGACCAGAATTGACCAGCAGGCTGAAACACAGATGGCTGAGGGGCGCTCACCTAGCTGCTGTAGGAAGAGCTGCAGATGGTCCTGTGTCTGTACCAAGGCTCGGTAGGCCACTGAGTCATCCTTCTTTAAGAACACCTGGATGTACAGCTATAAGCTGGGCAGTCAGTAAGAATTCCAGTGTCCCAGGGACCAGACCCCAAGATTCAAAAGGCTGTAAGTTGCTTGGGGTCCAGATCATGGCATTATGTGACATCTAAACAATATAGCACCAACAAGAACATACACATTCCCTGGAGCCAACACAGCAATGGGCCTGGGCTCCTTGGATCTGTCCATGAAGGGTGGTGAGTAGTTGACGGTACTGTTCTCCCTCCACACCCCAGTATCAGTACTGGACGGTACTGTTCTCCCTCCATGGCCCAATCACAGTACTCAATGGTACTGTTCTCCTTCCATACCCCCGTCTCAGTACTCGATGGTACTATCAGCCTTTCATGCCCCAGTTCACCCCACACGGCAAGCAAGAGACCAGAATTAGACTTTCTATTCTTAGGGATGAAGAAGCCACAGTAAGAGGCTGAGGCACACAATTCAACGTCCCCAGTGGAACACTGAGTAGGATGACAGGTGCAGGCTGGGAAATCAGCCCCCAGTCTGAACCCCAGCAACAAGTCTTCCTAGCTCTATGACTCTGGCTAGGATTCTGAATGCCCTGGGCCACAGGCACATTCATAGACCAGGTCAGTAACAACCAGTTCATAAGACTGTTGAGATGGTTCTATCGATTAGCACACAGGCAAAAAGCTGAATGTAGTGCGTCACACACTGAATGCTCAACATGAGTAACATCAGCTTTGCTATTTAGATCAGTCAGTGGCTCAGGAAAAGTGGAAGCCATGTTCAGAGAGCCTTGATCAAGGGCACACAGCCCTGAAGGCATGAAGCCTCATGCTGAGAAGCCCACAAAACAAGTGTGAAGCCCAAGGCAGTCACTTACCCGCTCAGGCCGAGTGCCTTTCTGCTCCAGGCTGAATGAAATCGCAGTGTCTAGCAGCCGCCGACCTGTCTCCACTAAGTAGAGGTTAATGGTGTAGGTCTGGTTGAAGCAAGCAAGTGAGTCCTGGAGGTAGACACAGCATGGGTAAGTAAGTCAGTAAGTCCCCTGAAGGACATCCAAGAATGGCACAAGTCCCCTAGAGAAGGGGCCAGGCCAGCAGGGAATTATGTGCAAAGGAGAGTAAGACAGTAAAGAAAGCAAAATCCTACAGCAGAAATGAGGTAGCTGAGTGCATAAATGAGATCACAACTAGATGTGAGCCTCAGAGGGAAGCCAGTGGGTACAGGGCGGTGGAGCGTCCCCAGAGAGGTGTGACCATGGACAGGGAATGAAGCAGGGAAAAGCTTGGGATGTGAGGCTACAGCCAAGATCCCTGCCTCCTGCCAGGGCCCCTCATCGCCACTCAGTGAACTGAGATAATGCCACTCAGCTCTGCCAGCCACAGGGACCCAAGAGAAGTGGGAAAGCTGAAGCCCAGAAAAGAAAATAGTGAGTAACAGATTCGAAGGAGTCCCCTTCCTCATCTCATCATGAGAAGAGGCAAAGAGACATGCCAATAACTGACAAGTTGGACCCACCTGAGGCTGGGAACCTGCCAGCCACCAATGTTACACCCTGCCTGCCCACGGCCATGCCCTACCTGTGCATTAGACTGAAGTTGGACCCACCTGAGGCTGGGAACCTGCCAGCCACCCAATGTTACACCCTGCCTGCCCACGGCCATGCCCTACCTGTGCATTAGACTTCTCAGAAAAGCTGCCCATGGCCCCATCTCCAGCACTGCTAGGCTTCTGCTAGAGGAAAAAGAGACCAGAGAACACTCAAAGGGTCCCTTCCAAAACACGAAAATGAAGTGACTTCGCAGCACTGAGGGAAGGCAAATCTTACATCTCAGCCCATCCAGAAGCTCCCACAAACTTACACCCTAACAGTCCCAGGAGAGAGCACAGTGGCCACCAAGGGATCTCATTCCCAGGGGGGAGGAGGGCGTGTGGAAAGCTGTAGTGATAACTCCTCTCTGAAGCCTTCTGCCCCCACATCCAGCCTGACAGGTGGATGCACCCCAATTTCTGGCTGTCAGGGTTCCCAGCAGCGATAAGGAAGCAAAATGCCACATGCTGGCTGTCCTCGCACTACTCACAGCTTCATTCCGACAGGTCATGACTGCGGCCACTGTCTTCTCCCCAGTGGTGGCAAAGCTCACAAGAGCAGTCTGCAGGGAAAGTGAGATGTCAGCTCCCAAAGGGGGCCTGGGTTAGCTGGCAGTCTTCCAGAGGGTCACCTCCCCCTGGGAAGGACCTTTGCTTGGCCTTGGATTGCAAAATGGTCCCAACTTTGGAAATGATGGCCAGGGCACCTACAGCAGGAGGCCCCAGCTACATCTAACACAACATTTCTTGCTTCAGCATGGGCTCAAGTCAACCCAATCTCATGCAGTTCTGAGCATCTACGTCTAAATTAACATCACCACGTTGTTGCGGACTCAGGAAGGCAACACTTTCACAGCCAAGAGAAAAAGTGCTGCATTCCTGCTGTAAGGCTACTTGCTCTCTAGTCACTCACAAAACACAATCTGGGATCTAAGGCAAATGTCTCAAGGTTCAAAGGCACTGGCCCCCAGCAGCCTTGTTTTGGCAGGACCCTCCAGTGCCCTAGCGTGCTGCTGTAGTTACCTGGGGGAAGTTTTTGAGCAGAGTTACAGCTCCGTGGCGGTACTGCAGCAGAGCATAGTGGCTTGGAGACAAATGCAAGAAGAACTGGGCCCGAGAAGGATCCATAGGGTTGGGCTGTGTGGGCAGCACTTGAGGTTGGAATTCACTTCCAAATTCTAAGTTGAGAGACTGAGGGAGGTAAGGAGAAGGGTTAGGGCAAGAAGCTGACCTACCACAGACCCACCCAGACTGGCATCATCTGGCCTGCTCTGCCAGTAACTAAACTAGGGCAGGTAGCTCCAGAAACACCTCAGCCTCCCCAAAGGGAAGCCTGGCTGGTATATCCCAATCCAAAGTTGGTCAGGGTCCTAACTTTTCCCCACAGCTGTCACAGCTCAGGAAAGCAGCAGCAACCTCACCAGAGAAAGACCCCCTACCCTCTAGACAATCATGCCAGCCCTCCTGTCCTACTTTGTTTCTCCATTGCGGTGATAAAACACTCTGACCACTACCAACTTGGGGAGGAAAGGGTTTATTTAGCTTACATATCCCAGGTCACAGTTCATCAGGGAGCCCAAGGTAGGAACTCAGGGCAGAAACCTGGAGGCAGGCGCTAGAGCACAGGCTTACTGGCTTGCTCCCCTGGCCCCTGCTCAGCCTACTCTCTTATCCAACACAGGCCCACCTACCCAGGGGTGGCACTACCCACAGTGGGCTGGGCCCTCCCACATCACTCAACAATCAAGAAAATGCCCCACAGACATGGCCACAGGCCAGTCCAACGGAGGCAATTCCCCAATTGAGGCTCCCTCAACCCAGGTGTGTCAAGTTGACACTAAAGCTGTCCAGCACACCTCCTAAGCCTGGGAGGTGACATCTCAGGCCAGCCGCAGTCTCTTACCTGTAGGGGGATCTGCCGCAGTTCCCACTCAGTCTCCAGGGCCAAAGTATGGAGGGAACATGAACTCGAGTCAGGGCACACCAGTACAGCCTCATCTACTATGCCACAGGCTCCAGTGAGACGCTGCAGCCATGGAGTCCAAACTCTGACCTACGGGAGAGCCACCACAACAGGGTCAGGAGGGATCTTCATGGTTCCTCTTAGCTCACCAGCAGAACTGGAATCCCATAGAGGCTCCTAAGCTCAAAGGCTCTGCACAGCCTGCTCTGAAGGGGCTCTTCCTGTCCCCACTGAGCCCTACCAGCCTCCAGAGCCTCCAGAAATGGGAGACAACCCAGGATTGTCTCTGATCACTGGAAAAAATATACCAGATAACAGTAAAGCACCTAACACTTGAGACAAGGACTTCACTTGTCAGGTGTGGCTTCCTACTATTTTACAGCATTACCTTAGAAGATGCTTAAATAGACAGTGCCTAGATCCGAGGAGCTTTTCAACCACCCCAGAGAAGCACTGCACACAAACATGGTGCTTTAAACACATGCTGATGAGGACAAGCCAGAGGCGAGGGACAGAAATGAGGAATCTAAGTGGCTTTTACATCTGTCCAGCCACATTCCCTGGACCCTAGTGCAAAGTAGGCCTCCAATGACTCCCCTTTCCACTTATGAGACTCCTAGAGCCGGACGTCCTCATACCTGCTGAACAATCTCTCCATCCTCCACGTTAAACTTGACAATGTTCACATGACTGAAGGAAACGATGCCGAGGGCCCACACCACCCCGGAGCCATAGGAATACACCATCTGGTAATGGATGCTGTCACTAAGAAGGAAAGAGAGGCCGGGGCACCAGCTTTAGCCTTAGGCCTGAGCATTCCCAGGGGCCTTCCAAAATCAAGCTGCCAGTTCTTAGCTTAGACACCACAAGCTACGTGAAGACCCTGAATGGGCTCTGCTTGGTTCACGAAGCTTTGGCTTCCAGTTTGGGGCTCATTGCTATTGTTGTGGTTTGCTGTTGCTTTTCCCATGCTAAGGCTCAAACCCAGGGCCTCACACATGCTGGGCACTACCACTGAGCCCCACACCTAGCCTTGCTTTTGTTTTTAAATTACTCGCCAACAACCGGAACTCAAGCCACATACAAACCAGACTGCCAGCTCTTCCTAAGGGAAGATGCAGCAACACTGGAACTGCCTACATGTGCACAGGGCACCCACCAGCTGACTGAGTATAGCTGTCCCATGGAGGTAGGCCAGGCACACCACAGTTCCTCTGCCATCCCTGCCAGGTAGCCCAGACTCAGGAATGCTTCATCCATGATCTTTTAGGATTTTTTCCCCTTTTGAGACAAGGTCTCGCTACTATGTAGTTCAAGCTAGTCTTGAACTTACTATCTTCCTGTTTTAGCCTCTCACTGCTGGAATTAAAGGTATGTACCACCATGGTAGGAATTTGACTTTTTACTGGGGAGGGGCCTAGGGACTGAACCCAGGGCCTGGGCATGCCACATCAACTCTTTGCCATACATCCACCCCTAGGAATCAGACTTTCAGTTTCTGCCTTTAACTTTTGGAAATGGCTACAAATGGCTGAAGCCAACCCTTGCCTTCCCCTCTACCCCTGCTCCTTCTCAGCTCTCATGCTTTCAACTAGGACCTCCAGGTATCATCTCAAGCCTCACTCAGCCCCCCACCCTGGACCCTTCATGAGTCCTAACACTTAACATGAATATGTGGTTCAGACTAATGGGAACTAGAAGTCAGAAGGCCCAAAGCACCATGCCAATGAGTAAGAGTGGCTCCCTTCTCAGTTAGCTCTAGTGCCCAGTTTGAACTTTCTCCACCCTGCAAACTACACTCCAGGCGTAGCCATAGCCTCTGTGCTCAGGCCCACACGTGGCAGGAGGGTGCCTGGCCAAGCACCCTCAAGGAGATGCGGGAGGGGAGCTGCAGGGAATGTGACAAGGTGGCCGCCATCACTTGGAAGGAGACAGTCTTACCTTTCTGGAAGGTGTTCCATCCACTTCAGGTGCCCACTGGAGAGGTGATGGAGGGCTAGAGTCATCTTCTTCAGGACTGCAACATACCTCACTGACTCCTGCAGGCCCACCAGCCCAAGTGCCTGGAAACTGAGCACATATGTGGGTGAGGGCCTTTGGCTAAAGCACCCAGGCCCACCACTGCTGATGCTTGCTGGGTCAGAAAACAGGCCTTGGGGCCAAGTGTACCTGGCTGGTTCTACCAACTTAAGACTCTGCCTTGCAACCACTTAGCCATACTGCTCTCAAGCCCCCAAATCTCCATGGGATTGCTTCTTCCTTTCCCTGGGAGTTCACAGGATTCAGGCCAACCCCTGGCATGGATAGAGCAGGCAGTGCTGTCATTGTTAGGCTAATACCTACCTCCCCATCTGGGCATGTACTTGGCTAAGCTAATGCCAATACTCCTGTAACAACCTTAGCAAAGATGAAGCAGCATTTCAAGGTATTCCAAACATAAAACTAAAATAGGGAGAATTGCCAGGTGTGGTGGCACACGCCTGTAGTCCCAGCACTTGGGAGGCAGAGGCAGGCGGATCTCTGTGAGTTTGAGGCTAGCTTGGTCTACATAGTGAGTTCCAGGCCAACTATTTAAAAAAGACAAATAAATAAATAAATAAATAAATAAAGAGAATCAAGCTTGGTTGTACTCTGTGATGCCTTTGGATACCCTTTGGAGATGAAGGCAGTTGGATCAAAAGTTCAAGGCCGGCAATTCAGCAGGGAAAAGGGCTTGCTAAGCAAACCTGACAGCTTGAATTTGATCTCTAGAATCCACATGAAAGTGAAATGAGACAACTGTCCTCTGACTTACATGTGTACATCATGGTTGACATACAAAGACACACACACACACACACACACACACACACACAAATTATTTCTTTAAAAAAGTTCAAGAAAGCTGGACATGCCAGGCCTGGTGGCACACTCCTTTAATCCGCCTCTTTGTAGAAGCAGGCAAATATCTCTGACAGGGAGGCCAGCCTGGTCTACATAGTGAGTTCCAGGCCAGTGGGCGCTACAGGGAGACCCTGTCTCAAAAAATAAAGACACATAAAAAGGTTCCAGGCCAGCCTTGGCTGCATGAGACTTGTCTCTAAACCCCTGCCTGCCCCCATAAACCCCACTGAAATATGGAGAGCACTTGTATGTATTACCCTCTTCTACCTAGAACATGGGAAAGTTCACATATCATGGGAACACTGCAAAAACATTAAAACAGGAATGAACATTGTATATGGAGAGCTCTGTGTCTAATGAGAGCTCAAAAACACTGGGTGAATAAGCACATGTTCTCCCTAACAAGCAAATTAAAAATGGGTGTCTGAGGTGACACAAAAAGAAAAAACAAAAACAAACAACAAACAACAAAAAGATGGGCATCTGATGCCCTCTGCCTGCTCAGTGAACCCGGAAAGGACGGTGGCACAGAAGGCCTGGAGCTGCTGTCCACGCCTTTCATGCAGGCAAGACACCACTTCTTCCCCTACCTGCCACTGTCCAGCGTTATCTCCCAGTTCAGGCCTCCGATGTTAGTCTCCCAAGAACGCATGATTCGGCCTCCATTGGATACAGTGATTGCATCTGGAAGAGACAAAGACCAGGGGAAGGCATTTCCCAAACCTGCTCTGTTGCCACCTAAGGTCCGTGTGCAATGGTCCCACCTCTGACTTAGGACACAAACAGGTATGAAGCAGGAACCTGTCTTTCACAGTTAGGAGCACCCTTCACCTTTCCCTAGGAGACCCTATACAAAGCAAAGAACTAAGAAATGGGAGACAGGGCTGACCCCACCGTGGAGACCAGGGGCCTCTGCTTACCTTGTCCATGCACCAGCATGGCATCCACAGCTCCTTCTGCTGTGCCCTTGTCAACATGGCGCCACACTGAGAGAAAGGAAAGTCAGACACTGCCATGAATGACACAGAGCCCAAGTGGGGACTGAGGAGGTCTTCATTTGCACAGCATCACCCAACTTTAATAGGAGAGAGGCATACCGCTAAGTGCCATGATCCAGACTCACTCACTGAGTAGTGAGGGAGTTCAGGACACATTGCTGTCCCCCATCTGAGCCCCTGCAATCCACTTCTACCCCATTAAACATGCAAACAAGCTGGGACTGGTGGTGCATGCCTTTAATCCCAGCACTCAGGCGGATCCTCTATGAGTTCGAAACCAGCCTGATCTACAGAGTGAGTTCCAGGCAGCTGGAGCTACAGGGAGACCCTGTCTCAAAAAGACACCCCCTCTCAAAAAGCAAACAAATAACAATAAGATTAACAAAACCCAGCCAGTTCAAGAAAATAGAGTTTGTAAATTATAATTCCACAAGCTAAGTGCTTAAAAGCAATCCAGGCAGTAAAGATAATTCAAGGAGAGTCATCCAAGCCTTTATACAGAATAGAATAATGTGATTCTTAGAACATTAACTTAGTTAAGGATGCTCAAGATTGAAGGAGTAAAGGCTAGTTCTACAAATATATCTATTCAAAGATGACAAGACAAGACTAAAGAAAGAAAAAATAGGGCAAGCCACCAGCCACTCAGATTCACTACAGCCAGCTTCCTACCCCAAAGCCCCCAGTCTACACAGCTCACTTACAGATCTCTCCAGTACGGGAATTCAACGCTGCAATCACATTCTTTTCTGTGGCCACAACCAACTTCTTAGACGCAGGGGAAAATTCCAACGAGGCAAACTTGAGCTTCCCAACATACTGCTGTCTCCTGAGGAAGAGGGCAGGGGAACATCAGGGGCAACAAATTGCTGGGTTCTCACCATCACAGCTCCCTCATCACATATAAGAAATGTGTGTTAATGAAGACTTCTGATGATAAGCAAGACTTCCATACAGTGCACTCAGAAGCAAAAAGAAACAGAAAAGTATTGCCTCCAAATAATTTAGAGACAGTCTCCCAGCTAACTGTATGACATATTTACTCTTGATAGGTGATACCCCAAAGAGTCTTTGGCCTAAACCATACTAAAACAAAGGTACAGTCTTCTGGGTTTTTGTTTGTTTTGGGTTGGTTTTTTTTCTTCCGGAGCTGAGGACAGAACCCAGGGCCTTGCGCTTCCTAGGCAAGCGCTCTACCACTGAGCTAAATCCCCAACCCCTTTGGTTTGGTTTTTTGAAACAGGGTTTTATTATATAGTCCTGGCTGGCCTGGAGCTCACTATGTATTCTAAGCTGAACTCAAACTCACAGAGATCCACCTTACTCTGCCTCCCAAGTGCCGGGATTAAAGGAGTGAGCTACCATACCTGGCCAGTCTTTTCTATATCATCGATTATTTGGCATTTGGAAGTACTGGGGATTGAACCCAGAGTCTCATACATGCTAGTCAAGCACTCTACCACAGAAACACACCCTCAAGCCTCTGTATTCACTGATAATAAGAATGAGAACCAAGTTTACAAACAACAACAAAAAGAGATATCTAGACACATCTTCCATGAAAATCAATTCAACTTTCCTTTCTGTTTTTACTAACCTTTTAATA